ATCCAGCGGTCCAAGCTGCGCAACCTGAACTGGGAGCTCATCCCGAGGGAGCGCGTGGAGGGGCGGCGCAGCGTGTGGAGCGGGGCGCCGGGGGCCGACGACGACTTCCCCATCGACCTCAGCTCGTTGGACGAGCTCTTCGGGAGGAAGGACGCCCTGTCCCTGGAGAGGTCGGCCGCCATCCGGCGCAGCCTGTGCAGCCGGCCCCAGGACCCAGGCCTGGAGAAGGTGAGGCGACGTCGAGCCGGCTTTCACCCCCGAGACCCCGACGCCGAGCCGGTTTCACCCCCGAGACCCCGACGCCAAACCACCTTTCCCCCCGAGACCCCGTGTGCGAGTGATGCCCAGCGATTATTCCGAGACTTGTCTCAATATCCAGTCTGTACAGCACTTTCAATTACACTCACACCCCGGTATCCGAACCTAATTATTTCCTGAAAATCTGTTCGGAAATAAGAATTCCATTGTTTCTCAGGGGGAAATTTCCGCCCCATTCCAAACCGAAGACAAATTCACTCAAAAACCTCTCAAAACATTTACAGCTAATGGGGACTCCCCTCCACCACCACCAGTGTGCAGCATCCACCTGGATGATGCGACGGCAGCCATAGTGCGCCAGAACGCTCCCCACACATCAGCTCTCAGTTCAGAATCATTTCAATGTGTTCAGTAAAGTCTGTGCTGTCAAGAATAAGTGCTTCTATGGGACGGGGAGCACTCCCTGTTCTGAGCTGGCCGCCACCGACTTCAAAGCGAGGGTGACTCTTCCGCAGCAATGTGAGGCCAGCTGTTGCGAGTTTGAGGTTCGCTGACTGGCGCGCAGCGCAGGGAATGCTCGGTGAGCTGGTGGTTCTGACTCACGATTAGCAATTTCAGAGCAGCGTCGTCTGCCTTTCTGTGCATTCCTGAGGGTTGAGCTGAGTGGTGTGTGTGTGTGGGTGTGTGTCAGTGCAGTAGGGCCTGCGTGTGTCCAGGTGACCCTGTGCGTTCTGGACTCTGACCCTAGTATCCCCCCCACACACGCAACCTGGCTGGGGATTCTCTCCGTCAGCCTGCCTAGAGAATTTCCCCTAGGGCCTGACCTGCAGAGATTTCCAGTGCTCAGCGCACTCAAGGTGGATCACTGGGCATCGGCAGTTTCTTTGCCACTTCTAAAGAACTACTCTAGTTGTTATTATTTATTATGTTTGCAATGTACTATCTGCATTGGGTGGTGTTGTCTGTTGTACTTTGATTGTCTTGAGAGGCACAAATAAGAATTCCAATGCACACGTACATATGGCAATAAACTCCTCCACTTTGCTACTACTCTACAGCTGATAGTAAAATGTGGCTTAAAAGATGGAGAAGAAGAAGGGAGAGGTGTGAGTGAGCAATTCAATTCAATTCAATTCAAGGTGCTTTATTAGCATGACCGATGGGTACAATCAGTGTTGCCAAAGCAAATAAAAATAATAAAATTAACATAGAACAAAACAAAAAATAGAAGTAAAATAAAATCTACAGACATGTTACAGACATTTACAACAAAGACATATTATATAATATCGACATATACTGTAGGCGGCTGGAGCATTATTGGGAGACGGACTCACTGTTCCTCAGGCTGTGACAGGAGATCACATACTGGGCTGCCAGATCAACTGAGTTCCCTCCTCCCTCTCCCAGTAGGATTGGGACCTGTTGTGGTTTTGGCAGGTGTGGGAACTCTGGGATTAGATTTCTGAATTTCAGGAAGAATGTTTCTCTAATCCCAGAGTATCTGTCACAGTGCAGTAGGAAGTGCACCTCTGTCTCTATTTCTCCCTGCTGGCAGTGGGAGCACAGCCTGTCCTCTCTGGGCAGGCTGTGTGAGTATCTGTGTAGGTGCTGAGCTGGGGAGAGCCCTGGATGGAGGTTACAGATGGAGCTGCACTGCTTGTCCCTGATCCTAAGCTGGAGGAGGAAAGGGCTGGGAGGCGGTAGATAGACTGGCAGGAGAGAACAAAGCATGGTGTTGTTGTTTTAATATTTGCATAAACGTTTCTCAAAGCGAGCTGATTAGGCAATCCAGCGGTCGGTCTGGGCAGGGAAGCAGCTTGAATGTGATTGTGAGAGAGCCGAGTGCGGGGTGGAGGTGGGAGATGCAGACGGAGGGTGGAAGGGGGAGAGGGAAGATGATCGAGAGTGGCAGGCCCCTGTTTCTGTGAGGGGGAGGGGAAAGGTCTTGTGTTGAGCGAGAAGCCCACTAGCTCCTGGGAGTGTTACACCTTACTTCTGTACTGACGGGCATGACAGTTACCTATGCCTTAATCCCATGAATCGGAATTCTAGATTTCTGTTATTGATGCAGGACAGGGAGCATCCCAAAGCACATTGCTGGTTAAAGGGGGCATCTTGCTCTTCTCCTGCTGGGGTGCCACACCCCCAAGTATCAGAACTGATCTGTTTACTGGCGTGGAGTAGAGCCCAATCTCCTGCACAACATTTCAGTGCTTTAGCTGTGGTTTGCGGTGCCATCGAATGCATGACTGAACCTTGCACATTCGGGAATCGCTCTGGAGCCAAGTTCTCCAGCATCCCCCCTGACTCCCGTCTTGTCTCTGCAGGTCTCTCTCTTGGACGCCAAACGCAGTATGAACGTGGGGATTTTCTTACGGCACTTCAAGAGGTGAGTGGGATTGGTTGAATGATCTAGCCTGAAGAACGTTAATGCTGTGTCATGATGACTCTTGGGGTGTAGGCAGTGCTCTTCTCCCTCCTCCTGGGAGCATTTGATCCGTCCTGAGAGACGGGCACTGATGTAGCCTAAATGGTGGTCCGGACAAAGCAGATACAAATATAATGAGCCTCCTGATATATAAAGCCGAGCTCCAATGTGCAGGTTGAGCTATGCGATCTAGGGTTCGAGCCAGGTTTCCCCAAGGCGATGGCCCCCAGTGGGCCGAGGGGTGGAGGGCGCTGGGTTTTTGGTGGTGTGTGGGTGGTCCGAGTCTTCCTGGGGTCCTGTCACAGGGAGAAGAGCAGCAGAAGGAGGAGGAGGAGGGGTGGAGACAGGTGCGCGTTGCCCAGATGATCCTGCTTCCTGTCTGAGCAGCCGGCCCTGTCAGTTAAGGGTTAAAGGGGGCAGAGGTGACACCTGCTCTGAACCCTGAACTGGCTCAGCACTTCTTTCACTTTCATGTAGAAACGTGGGTGGGGAGGCAGTTTATGTTCTTGTTGCCCCTTCCTTTGTGCGTCTGGCACTTTATGGAGTTGCGAGGTGTGGGACTTGAGGCTGTAACCCTCAAAGTGTGAGGGAAGGGGGGAGGGGTGCTGTCCATAGTCACTGAGCCTGCTGTACGCCTTCTCTCAATTGCAAGGGCTGCTTTCTTTTTGTCTTGCAAATAATTCTAGGTGAGTTTCACACTGAAATTAGAAATGCCTGCATGTGCACAAGGTGTTTGGCCATGGCCATGAGTGAATGCAACTTTGCATTTGAATGAGACGGTGCCTTGCAGAGCCCCCGCACAAACAGCTGCCCAACGACCTCTCTGCCTTTGATGATCTTACTCACGCCTGCCTCTTGCCTCCCGGGCTGGTCACCTGGGAGATGAGAGGGTTTGTTCTGCGTGACACATGCAAGCGATTCAGAGGCCCAGAGGCAGTCTCATCAGCACGCAAGCCTGAAACACGAACAGAGGGCTCACGTCTGGGCTGAACGCAGAACAGGAGAGGGAGAGGGATGGAGAGAGAGACGCAGGGTGGTGGTGGATGTATAAGAGACTGGCTTTGTGTTGGGTTCCAGATTTCTCTCTCTCTTTCTCTCTCCCTGTGTCTGTGCATTTCAGGGTGACTTCCCAGGAGATCTGTGTTTGCTCCTTGTCCCTTTCTCCCTCTGTCGCCAGCCTGGCGTCATGGGGCTGTAATCCAACCCCTCCCCGATAATTCTGCCCCTGGTGGGGAGATAAGGCTGCCCTGGAAGTGATAAGCGCTGTGTATATATCAGGGTGCACTGATTGTGTTTTGCCCCTGCAGGGCGGCGGGAGAGATCATAGAGGACATCAGGCAGGGCTCAGGGCAGAACTACGGAGCAGAGAGACTGAATGAGCTCAGCAAGTTGCTTCCTGACACGGAAGAGGTATGAAGGAGCTTCCTTTTCTCTTTTTCTACTGTCCATTTGCCCCTGTGCCATCTGTGTTGGATTCCATACAACTTCGAGCATACAACTGAGCCCTGTCCCCAGCTGCCTGGGTGTTAGGTTTTTGAACAAATTGCACTGCTGGCTTAGTAAAGTTAACAGTCTGTGAAAATCGGCTGTGGGTAAGATGACAATAGAGCATCTGGCACCTGGCTCTGCGGGTATTAGGACCTGGAATGGCCCTGTGTAGCGGGGGTCTCGTTCCAGTTGGTGGCCCGTGTCTGTGTTTGTTTTCTCTGTCCTGGGCGCAATTACCGAGATGTTCTTTCTGTCCTGCAGGAGAAAAGGTTACGGTCTTTCCAGGGCGATCGCAGTAAGCTGGGGGAGCCCGACTTGTTCATGCTGCTGGTAGTGGAGGTGCCCAGGTGAGACTCTTTTCTCTCCCCCCGTTTCCCATCCTGTGCCCCAGTCCCATTAGCTCAGTGCCAACCCAGCCAATGGGCTGCGCTATAACCCCGGTCCCCCGCCTCCTGTAAGAGGTTGTTGTGGCTATGTGACTCAGGGGGGAGAGAGAGTGATTCAGTCAGCCTGTGACACATCCAGCGACCCCCTTTGCCAGCTGTGTGAGCTGTGCGGATATTGAGCGTCTCTCCCACGCTCGCTGGCTCTCCCTATTGCTGTCGCGCTGCAACGCACCGTATCGGTCTGTGGCCTCCCTGTGTACTGACTCACCGTGTTTTAACCCAAATACATCTTGCATTCAATATACAAATGCAGTGTATCACCCCACCCCCCCCAACTCTTCCCTGCTGCCCCGTTCAGACTCCCTCTTCCTCTCTCTCTCTCCCTCCAGTTTCCGTCTGAGGCTGGACACGCTGATCCTCCGGGAAGAGTTTGACCCGGCTCTGACCTCTCTGTGTGACGCGGCCCGCACGCTCCGGGAGGCGGCCAAGGGTGAGAGCTTGTCGGAGGGACTAGAACTGAAATATCCTGGCGTCCGTTTTTAATGACCACGGACGGAACGGCTGAGCGTTCTCCAAAACGGCTACCGAACCCTGGCGTTGCTGCGCAGACCGCCCTGCAGCACAGTAATCTTACCATTGCTCAATACTATTATTGTATTCATGTAATAGAAGTGTATTACTAACACGTTCTATGACACTGAAGTGCATCAGCCAATGTCTTTATCAGGCTGTGTTTTGCAGTGGAGGAATTTAGTATAATGCAGTGCAGAATAGTTTTGTAAATACATAGCCAGAGCCGAAGGCAGCCTCTCCCTAACTCCCCTCCTCTTTGCTCTCTACCGCTCCTCCGCTATTCAGAGCTGCTCAGCTGTCCGGAGCTGCACTCCATCCTGCGGCTGGTCCTCAAGGCTGGGAACTACATGAACGCTGTGAGTCTCTTGCCGTTTCTCTGTTTGTCCCCCGTCCGCCCGCCTGTCTTTCTGCTCCGGATTTTCTAGGGTCGGATCACGGCAGGTGGGGGGGGCGGTGTTTGTGTAATGAGCTTTTTTCGTACGAGGCCTCGTGTCAGCCGTGTGCGTGTACCCTGATGTGGGGGCAGGTCTGTCCTACAGCCGGTGTCGTTATTGTGTGTTCGTTTTACTGTAAACTCACAGGCCTGGAGAAAGGCCCTCATTATCTGCGTGAGAGAAAGGAAAGTGTATGCAGCCTGTAGCACTTGATGTAGAATTTTGTTGTATTGGGTTGACCGTGCTCTTCTTTTCTCCTGTCGCACATCTGGCACGGTGCTTTGGGGTTGTTGGAAACGCTTCTAAATAAAATCGGGTAGCATTGTCGGGTTTGACTCTGACCTCCAGTTTGTCTCTGTCTCCCCCCCCCCAGGGTGGGTACGCTGGCAACGCGGCCGGATTCCGCATTGCCTCTCTGCTCAGACTGGCCGACACCAAAGCGAACAAGCCGGGCATGAACCTGCTGCACTTCGTGGCCATAGTAAGACCAGGGAGGGGGCAGGGCTGTTTGTGCTGTGATCTGGACCAGAATGGATGAAACTGGACTTTCCTCGGCTGAGCTGGGCCGGGTCTGTTAGTGATAGAATTCACGTTGTCAAACATGGAATTATATCCTGCTTGTGGGGGGGCACCACCAGCCAGAAAGTTCAGAAGCCTGCATTTTGCTTATCCATTCTCTTCACTGGGTACAAACCCGTTGAGACCTCAGTGCGGTCAAACAGTTCTGACTTCAAACAGTCTGAATGAATGAGAGGACTGGCCTCTGTTGCAAGCCCAAGTCCCTTGAATGTGCTGTGTATGGTTGGGACAGTGTTAGTCCTGATACGGAGGAAGGAGTGGGTGTTAAGTGTTTTCTTTCTCTCAGTCTCTTTATTTCTTCTCTTTTTCTCACTCGCACTCTTCCTCATTCCCCAGGAAGCGGAGAAGAAAGACCAGGGGCTGTTGTCTTTCCCCAGCAGGCTGAAGCACGTGAGCCTTGCTTCCAGGTGAGTTCTGCCCCCTGCTGGATGGGGATGTGTCCTTACAGCCTGTCAGCCTACACGTCACACAGCCCAGATCCTACACAGGGGTGAAAGTAGCCCGATTGGGATGTAGGTATGATTTGAATATGTCCTTTGCAGACAAGGACTTGTTAACTCTTACAGGTATGGGGAAAAACCATTGGTTACCCAAACAGATCCATCCAGCCAGTTTGCTGAAAACTATTCCCCCACCAAAACCACAGCAGCACGCCAGCTGGTCCACATTTGGAGGGCAAGCGTGACTGAGACTGTGTCGACGGCCGTGTCATTGAGGCGTGCGGCAGTAAACAGCTCCCAGCGCGCCCAGCCTTGCCGCTAGATAAACGTCACTTATCTACGTGTGAACAGCTACAAACAAAGGAAGTGCGCACGCCCCCGAAGCCGAGAGGCGCCAGTTGAGCTAAGGAAGTCAAGGGGAAAAAAATAACATAAACTGAACAGCCAGTGGACTCCCGAAAGTATATTTAATCACACGAGCGGCACCTGACCCGGCTCAGGTGGAAATATATTCTGTGAAGCAGTTTTCCCAACAGTGCGGTTTTTGGCGGGTGTGAGCAGGAAGCCGGCTTTGTGTCCCTTTGTCACTCTGGGCTCTCAAACAACACCCCCCCAAGCACACTGCCTTTGTTCCTGCACCCTTACATCCTCCTCCTCCTCCTCTCCTGCCTGCTGGTGGCCTGGCCTCTGTCCCCCGATGGTAGTCTGTCTCCAGGAGGCACAGAAGAGCCTCTGCTTACTCTCCCGTCACAGTTGACAAGAACCGCAGGAAAACAGTTGAATAATTTAGAGAATGAGTCCTGCATGAAATTGCATATATACGTGAATGACATAAATACATGCATTATTTACAGACCTCTTCTGCCCTGCCAGACTGGCGCTTGTTGCTGTAGAGCTCTAGCCCAGGCTCACCGGCCGAGCAGAGCCGAACAGACGTAGCGGGTCAATCGGGCCACAAGGTTTTGGGCCCGGCCCGGCCCTCTGCAAGCCAAGTTTGATCATGAGGCCCGCGGTGCAGGAACAATAACAGAGCTGTGGACAGAAGCAGGATTTTGTGGGGGGAGGTGGGCAGTGAGCAGACGGGTGATGGCCGCATTTTCACACCCCGCCTCTTCTACCCAGGCTGTCCGAGGACGTGGCGCACGAGGACCTGCTGAGGCTCCAGGGCCGAGTCGCTGGCCTGCGGGCGGCTGTGGAGACGGACGCCGAGGCGGAGCTCAGGCAGCAGACCCTGCCTTTCCTGGAGGTGGGTGTCCCTCTCCTTCGACCCCCCCACCACCCCGCCACATGGGGTCAATGGAGATTACTGGGGTGTACTTAGCACTTTAGCGCTAGCAGGCTGCCGCTAAAAAAAAAAGAGGATTTCTCTTTTAAGGGTCGAAATCCATTACAATTTTGTCATGGTCTCCGCTGTGTGGAGCAGCAGGTAGGGTTCTGGCTGTGGGTTCAAACCCCAGTGAGGCACTGCTGTCTGGCTGTGGGTTC